CCCCCCCCCCCCCCCCCCCCCCCCCCAAACGAACATATGACGTTTCTCGTGGAAAAAATCGATATGTGAGGCTTCCCTAACTAAATATTTTGTACACATTTGGAATATTAAGACTTATTTTAGTGGTTCATGAAGTCTTATTCAACCAAGAAGTGAAATTAAACATATCGTTTAAAAAAGGGTGCAAGTATCGAACGATACCACGTCAGTAATCGATACCGATACCGCTGTTTGTGGTATCGCTGGTATCGAATACCGAGTACTCGGTATCGCCCATCACTAGTGAGTTGTACGCATGCTCGGCAATTGCTGCAAAATATAAACAAAGTATTTTAATAGAATTTCTCGTCGAAAATTTGATACTTTTAATTACGGCTGAAATCAATTGAAAAATAAAAATTCTGGGGTAAATATGTACGAAAGATTCGGATTGATATACTGTAGGGATACAACTATACCTAAAAAATACAAGGAGAACTTCGACGTTGATAAATATAATCTCCTCAAGTCAAGAATGAGAGAATGTTCATAGTTGTGGACCTGCGGTTGATTTCTTTAAAACTGGACCAAAAGTTTAAATTTCCTTGACATTGGATTATTGACATTTGACATTGCTTTCATATATGTAATATGTTAAGATGTTCTAGAGTGTGTATTATATAATTTCCATACCCAGCGCAAGCAGATCTAGTAATTCGAAGGTCGCGGGTTCAAGACCCAGCCGCGGCAGACAACATCTTTCTGCTTGCGCTGGGTATGGAAATTATATAATACACACACATATATATATATATATATACACTGGATCCAGAAAAGTTTGACCTTCGAATATATATATATGTCGGCCATTTTGAATTTTCTTGGGTTAATTATACGCGAACGCATATATCAAATGTCGCTCGCAACGTATTGTATATTGCAATATTATTCCAACAGCTCAAATGAATAAAAGAATCATTGATTGATGTCTTTGCACATAATCATAATGGCTAGTAGGAAATGAACATTTGGAAATGAACATAATGGCTAGTAGGAAATGAACGTTTCTGCTTCGCCAGGTCACGAATGCTGCGTGTGCTGAGTTTCAGGGGATGAAATATCGAATGACTATCGATTCCGTTAAAATTTCCGTTGGCAAAATATAATAGAGAGTTCGGCAAATACAAGGGCAACCGCAACGGCAATATGGTCATTAACAATAGCATTAATCCCCAAAGACAAAGGCGAATGTAAATTACATGGTCTTAAGCGTTGTGCAATGCCGTAGTTGTTGAAACTAATACGTGATTTGCATCATTTTCACGGTGCATGGTTACGGCAACAATTCATTCGTTCGATGTTATTTGAGAGTTTTATTGAATTCGCGGACTATTTTTATTTAACGGTACGTTTGAAAGAAACAGGAATACTTAATGAGGCAAATTAAGTGTAGTAACGTATACTTTGCCTTTCGCTCAAATACAACAATATAAGCAATTATATTTTCCCCGTTGCAGTTGTCGTTGCCGTTCTAGGTTGCCAAACTCTTTAATATAATAATTCTGGACGTAGGTTACAGCTATAAAATAAGCACAAGTGAATACGAAAGAATAAACAAAGAAATTCATCGAGGCATGCTAATAAGCGTCTAAATCTCTAAGGATGCAAAATAATAAATTACGACATGCCAAAAAGATCAGGTTCCAAATTGTGACAAGAGTTAATTAGCTAACAACCCTCAAATGTTCATTAGATAGCTACTACAAATATGTGTAAGACCTTCAAGCAATGATCCTCTACTTATTTGAGCTGTTGGAATATTGCAATATACAGTACGTTGCGAGCGACATTTGATGTATGCGTTCGCGTATAATTAACCCAAGAAAATTCAAAATGGCCGACATATATATATATATTCGAAGGTCAAACTTTTCTGGACCCAGTGTATATATATATATATATATATATATATATATATATATATATATATATATATATATATATATATATATATATATATATATATATATATATATATATATATATATAATATATATATAGATTGTCATTTGCATTTTAAGATCTAGACAATCTAATAAGCTCTGTTATACTTTTTGTTTTGAGCACTTTATATACAACCAAAATAAATTGAATTATATATATATATATATATATATATATATATATATATATATATATATATATATATATATATATATATATATATATATATATATATATATATTATATATATATATATATATATATATATATATATATATATATATATTTATATACAGGGTGTATAAAAAAAAACTGAACAGATTTGAAATTGCTCCCAATTTCGCAAAACACCTAGTTGTATCTGGTTTTATATATGTATAGCTTCTTTGGGTACTTATAATGTAAAATAATGAAAAAAATTTCTCGAACTCAAATTTTGTGAACCAGGGGGTGTGTCTTTTCCAACAAACTAAAAATGGCTCGCGCACAAAATTTAAAAGCTGTAATCATATTTTGAGTTAACAGATTGACAATTTGTCGGGTGTTTACTTACTGTACAAAATTTCAGACAATTTGGTTTAGTTTAAGCCCTTTAACTATTCATTTTGTTCTAAAAAGTCAGCCTTTCGCATGCTTAATTAATGCTTTTACCTAATTTGCATATTGCTGACATATGCAAATTAGGCAAATGCATTAATTAAGCATGCAAATAGCTGATTTTTCGGGAAAATTGTAACTTTGCGTGAATAGTTAAGGGGCTTAAACTAAACCAAATTGTCTGAAATCAGTTTGTACAGTAATTAAAATCCCGACAAATTTTCCATCTGTTAACTCAAAATATGATTGCAGCTTTTAAATTTTGTGCGCCAGCCATTTTTAGTTTGTTGGAAAAGACACACCCCCCTTCGAGAAATTTTTCTCATTATTCTACATTATAAGTACCCAAAGAGGCTATATGTATAAAAAACCGGATACAAATAGCTGTTTGCGAAATTGAGAGCAATTTTAAATCTGTTCAGTTTTTTTTTATACACCCTGTATATATATATATATATATATGTATATATATATATATATATATATATATATATATATATATATATATATATATATATATATATATATATATATATATATATATATATATATATACAGGGTGTATCAAAATAAACGCAACCCATCTTTTGTGCTTAATAACTTTCGAAATACTATTTCTAGTTAAACGCTTTTAGGCTTACTTCAAAGCCTGTTCTTTTCTCTTTCAAACAAACTATTATTCTTGTCTCCAATGCTAGTAATAATTGCACAGGAAAAGATTTAGTAAAACCTATAATTTTTAGTTGCTGTTTAATTATGCAAGTTTACTATGTTATTGTTTAGTCGGTTTAAATGTTAGAATTTTCTTCTTTAAACTTTAATGTTGTCGTCACTACATCTGAAAACCACGTAAGAACAAATTAAAAGTATTTTAAAAGAGACCAGGTTGTTTGAAAGTCCTAAACGAATGCTAAAAATCGTCAAAACATTCTGGTGTCTGAGCCAGAGTGTCATCGAATTGCGATGTAATGTAAACAGAAATTATAGCAAGTTGATGTCAGTCAGCTTAGATCGGGTCCAACCCAAAATTATATCGCATTTGAAGTTTCAAACTCAGTTAAAAATAGTGGAAGAAAAGCCGTAATTATACTTATTGTTACAATCCATTTAATAAAATGCAACATTTTTTTGTTTTAATGAAAAAATCAGTTATTTTCATGAGAACGATTTGTTATTCCATCTCAATTTTTTAATCTCCAATCGCAATAACGTAAAGTATTATTACCCGCGAACCAATGAGTCAATTTTAAGAAACAACCCACCGTTAGAAAGCTGAATGGCTACGTTTTAAAATGAATGTAAACTTTAACGTTTTCGTCTATTATTTGTTTAGCAATTTACATTTCAGTCGAGGATTGCGCTTTTTTTATACACCCTGTATATATATATATATATATATATATATATATATATATATATATATATATATATATATATATATA